CCCGAGGGTCCCAGCAGCAGCAGGTTGGCAGCGGGAGGCGGTGGCGGTGGGGGAGGCGTCTCCCGCTCCCGGGCAGGCACTTGGGGAGCTGGGGTGGAGCCAGCTGGCTCCTTGGAGTGGCAGAGGACCGGTAGCCTCGAGACCCCATCGCCAGGGGTTCGGGAAGCAGACTTGGCTTGGGGGAAGGCCAGGAGTGGAGGACGGTGCTGGAGGAGGTTGGGGAAGGGCGGGGGGATTTCACAAGGAGTGGTCTTGGTGGGCGTCCCATCCCTCCGGCTTGGAAGGGCTGAAGCTGGCCGGCGGTGGGTGTGGGGCTGAAGGGCGTGAGGCTGGTGTGGCATGGAGGTTGTCGTCAATGGAGGGGCCCCATTGGCCCGGCCTTCCCCTGCCTCCTCAGGCAGCGGGTACTTCATCTCCTCATATATGGCCTCACTCTCTTCTGAGTCCGAGTCGGCGCCAGCTGGAGGGGTTGGGCCCCCACCCCCAAGAGGGGGCCCGGTCAGGCCCCCTCCACTTCGCCCTCCTCCCCTGAAGACATCCCCCACCATCTCAATGTACACAGGCTCTTCTTCCTGGGCCGTCACCTCAGGGTCCCCAGCTACGCAGGACCCCCTACTGAGGCGCTGAAGGGGCAGGTTCCCCCCTCGAGGAGAGGGTGTTGGGGGACAGGACTCATCGAAGGAGACAGAAAGCTGGGTGTTGGGGCTTCGCCTGGGCTTCTGTGGAGGAACCTTCCGGCTGGACTCTCGGCCCTCTGGGGTTGGCTTCTGTGAGCCTGAGCAGGATGGGAAAGAGAAAAAGAAACGAGGCTCTTAGTCAGGGATGGAAATGGGGAGACCCATTGTGACCTCTTGACTTATCTGCCTCTTCATTTTCCCCACATCCCTCAACTTACAGCCACAGTAGGTTCTCTTCCTCCCTGCAGCTGTCAGTCCTTCTGATGAACTGCCTAGAATCTGCAGCTCTCACCCTAAGTTCCCTCCCACCCTCAAGGCCCTCCAAGGCCACCCCTTTTCCAAGAATGAACTTTTCAAGGAGCTTCCCCTTGAATGGTTTATCTCAGGCCCTTCCAAAAAAGGAGCCCCCCCACCCCTGAGAATGGAACCTTCCACTTCCTTGGATCTTCCCTGAATGAACCCTCCCGGCAGGCCTCCCCTGGCCCGGAATGGATCCTCCCAGCTTCCCGGGGGAGGGGTGCCGGTATCTCACCTGCTTTCTTGCTGGGGGGCGTCTCTGCCCCCGACCCCGCCATGCTCAGCTTGGTGCTGGGGTGTCTCCGGGGCTTGGCCGGGGGTCTTCGGGGGCCGCTGTCCTCTGTGAGGCCTCCCCCGCCCCCTCCAGGCCCACCCCCCACACTGTCCATGCTGCCCACTGAGTGGCAGGAGAGGGAGCGTGGGGCCATGGCGCTGCGGCAGGGGTGGGGGGTATGCTCCTGGGAGGCGGGCATCGTCATGAAGCCCATCCTGAGAGAGCGGCGCAGCGAGGCGATGTCCCGCACACGGACCCCGGGCCCTGGGCCAGCCCCGGGCCCTGCTGGGCCTGAGGGAGCCACCTCCTTACTGGAGCTGGGGAGAGAAGGCCCTGATGGAGCAGAGGTCGGGCCTCTGGCCTAAGCCTCCCTCTCCTCCACCCCAAGAGGGGTTTGCAACCCTGTGGCCTCCTCGGGAGGATGAAGAGGGCTCAGGGTGGGGTTGCAGGGGAGCCTGAAGGACCAGGGTGCTGGTAGAAGCTTCAGGCTGTATCCATAGGCTTTAAAAAAGGCAAGGAAATTGAGGGCAGAGATGGGAGAAGGGGTGAGCCTGTGTGTAAGGGAGCATCCCTGGAGCTGGCCGATCCCAGCCTGGGCATCTCCGGCACACACACGTGTAGCCAGCTTCATACACAGAGACGCAAACCCAGGCAGCACAGCCCAGCCTGGCATGTGCATCTGGCACCGCAGCCCTGCTCCTTGTCACTCTCATGCTGGCCCACACCTGGCCTCTGGCCTCTGGCCTCCCCTCTCGTCTGGCTGCTGCGGCCTGCCCTCCCACACCATGCCGCGCCTCCCTTCCCAGACCGGGGCTGGACCGCCGCATCATCAGAGCAGCCTCTCCTGGCTGATTCTTTTTCCTCCTGTCCTCTCTTTCTTTCTTTCCCATTCTCTCCCTCTCTGTCTCTCTTTCTCTCTCCCTTTTCCTCGGTGCTGTCCGCTCTCTGTCACCTCCCCCCTCTAAGGCTTACCCCCATTCCTTTTCACTGTCCCTGAGCATCTGTGTGAGTGAAGGGGGGCAGCTGGCAGGGAAGAGGGGAGAGCTGCTGTGGGGTGGGCTCTCATTAAGGCCCTGTCTACTAACCCTTCATTAGGGAGAGATCACTGCAGTGATAGCTCTGATTAATCTAATTAACAACAAGAATTAAACTCCACAGTTTTGAGGAGGGAGAAGGAGCAGGGAGGTGGCTCTGACTCAGGCTCCAAGAGGCTGTGCCATCAATGGGAGTGAAGAAGAGAAGGGAGCAAGACAGGAGAGGCCAGGCCCCTGGTCCCTGGGAGGGCAAAGAGAGGGGGCAAGCAGGGAGGGGTCACCAGCCCTGGCTCTTCTGCAGGGCTCAGCCTGCATGGCCCCCACCACACATACACAGCTCTGTCATTGGGAGAGGGCCAAATGGGGCCCCTCAAATGATCCCATCCCTGGACCATGAGGGCAGCAGGACCTGCCGCTTCCAAGGTCAGGTGACAGGGGAACCAGGAGTCAGCCCCACACTGACAGAGAGGAGAAACTCACAGGCCAGAGGTGAGTCAGTTAGGAGTGACTTGGGCCTCTGGTGATGGGAAAGAGCCAAGAGGGTGCCCCTGAGCTGGAAGCCCCCTAAGGGACCAGGGCAGGGGCTAGAGTCAGGAGCCAGAAGCTGGGCAGGGACAGAGCGTGTGCAATTCCAGCAATTCTGTACTGAGCACAGACTCAGATCAGACTGATGACCAGGCTGTTGGACCCAGGAAGGGCAGAGGGATGTGGCCCAGCCAGGGCGAGGCAGAGGTGAGACCGGCAAGGGGGCAATCAGGGACTGCAGCCTTACCTCCTTTTGGCCTCCTCTTCCTTGTGCTGCCGCCACTCCAGCTTGGTTTTTCGGTAGAGGAGGTTCATGTCGTGGGGCAGGAGGTGGGGGCTGAGGGGCCCTGCTCAGCACCACCAGGCCCGGGGGGCGGCCCTCCCTGGGTCCCGGATCCACTTGGTGGGGGGTGGGGGGAATGGAAAGGAAAAAAAGAAAGATGTGGGGTGGGTAGGGGCCAGGAATGAATGAGAGAGAGAAAGGAGCAGAGACGTGACTCGGGTCCTCAGAGAGAGGAAAACAGATGGAGGCACAGAAAACCCAATACCGCCTCCAGGCCCCACAGACAGACAGACATAGACGGACGTGTATACACAGTCACACACCCTGACAAAGGTGTTCAGAGCCACGGATACACACACTTGAGAGATCAGATCCACACAGACTCCCATTCTGTAAATACATCCTGATTCCCCATACAGTCCCCACAAACACACAGCAACCCCACAGCCACACACACACACATTCAGACACACAAACCACCAGGCCACAGATTCGTATCTACAAGCAGAGGACCAGACACACAGAGTGGCATAGGTAAACACAACCTAGGAACAGCCAGACACACAGACATAAACACCCTGACACACCCACAGCACACACAGACCTCCAGACGCACACAGATCAACTGCACCGAACTGGACGTACCTATAGACAAGGAGTTATGCCGGGGCCTACTCGCCTACACTGCACCCCACTGGGGAAGGGGGAGACAGTCAGACTCCCTATCCCCTCTTGGGGCCTGAGGCTGGGGGGTGTCATGAGGGCAAGGCGTGGTTGCTGGAGAAAGGGTGGGGGCACTCTGAGTCAGGCACCTACAAGACCACTCATCCATTCCCTGCCGTCCCCTTCTCCAGTCCTTTGCCTGGGCCCGGGCTCTGGTCCACCCCTGTTCCGGCACCCTGGCCCCTCAGCGATGGTCTCCGCCTCCCTCGCTGAAGGCCCAAATCACCTTCCTCCTCCAGGATCTGGGAGGCTCCTGGCTTCCCTCTCCCAGTCCCCGCCCCTCCAGCCCACCCTGGGGTCTCCAGTCTGGCCCCTTAGCTACCTTCCGAGCGTCGGCCTCCATACCTGCTCTGGTTTCCCTTCTCCCAAACACTCTCCTTTGCGCCTTCAGCCTCACCTCTCCTCCTAGGCGCCCCTCCTCACTGCCGTCCTCTCCCTTCCCTGTTTGTTCCAAACCTGGCCGGCTTCATCCCCTTCTCCATCCAAGAGCCCCAGGTTCCCGGGCACCCCTCCCCTTCCCCTTGTCCTGCTATCCTGGGTTTCTCCGTCTCTCGCCCCGCCGATCCTCCCTACCCCTTGTCCCCCATCCCACCTCCCCGCACCAAGCCTCCCCAATTTCTACATCACCGTACCTGGCCTGCCGGGCGCCGGCCCCCCCATGCCGGGCTCCGCCCGGAGCAGGAGGAGGGAGGAGGAGAGACAGAGAGAGACCGGGGGGAGCCGAGCAGGGCCCTGCCGCAGAGACAGCCCCGCCTCCGGGTCCGCCCCCAGACCCGCCCCCGGCCCCAAACCCACCCTTCCACACCCTCCAAGGACGGAGCGGGAGCGGCCGCGCAGCGCTACGCCGCTAGGCTGGGGTTGGGGGGGTTGGGGCACGGGGCCAGCGGTGTCCGCGGGGGAACTCGGAGAAAGGTCGTGGGGCGCGGGGGACCCCGCGCCAGCCCGCCCCGGCTTTGGGGCGTCCGCTGCTCGCCTTCCCTCGCCCTTGCCCGGTCGGGCCGTGCTGGGTTC